TGGGGACTGGAAATACAACCAAGAAATGACCAACACAATTCTCTCTTTCTGCAATTTAGAGGAGCTGAGAACAGATTAAATAACTATGTAAAAGTGAGAGAGGTGTCACAACATAAGTACCAGTCAGAGTTCTGCCAGCAAAACGAGTGACATGAAAACCAATTCGAGAAACGGATTTGAACGTGGGGAACTGGTCACAAAGGTGGTAGAAGGGCTGAGGGGGCAAAAGCAGGCCTGTGAGGCAGCAAAGCTGAGCCACAGCAGGAAGCTGCTCTTCCCCTAGAGTGGGAGGGACCCGCGGAGCAGGGGAATTGTAAGAGCCCGTGCTGGGGCCAGCGGATGAGAACTGCGATCTTGTAGGAGACACGCTCACTGGCAGAAACATTTCCCAGAGCAGAGAGAGGAGGAGAAACACCCTGTTTCCTCCTTCAAGCCTCCACTGGAGCCCCTATCTGTCAAAGCCAACTGGGAGGCTTTTAAAAAAGGCAAAAGGAGGGGCTGGCCCCGTGGTTAAGTTTGCGTGCTCCGCTGCAGGTGGCCCAGTGTCTCGTTGGTTTGAATCCTGGGCGCGGACATGGCACTGCTCATCAAACCACGCTGAGGCAGCATCCCACATGCCACAACTAGAAGGGCCCACAATGAAGAATATACAACTATGTACCAGGGGGCCTTGAATGAATGAATATGCAACTATGTACCAGGGGGCTTTGGGGAGAAAAAAGAAAGAAAGAAATCTTTAAAAAAAAAAAAAGGCAAAAGGAAAATATAAGTTTCAAGAGTGAGATCCTTGAAGCACAGTAGATCCAGGGAAGGACAGGAAGTGGATCTGAGAGGAACGACGCCACTAACCAACCCAGGCTATCATGAGAGCTCAGAACTGGACTCGGGGTTCAGGGAGTGACACGTAAGTAGAGACCCACAGTCTGAGCTTTCCATGGGCCCAGGGAAGACCTGGGGGAAGCGGGTCTCAGGCAGAGAGAACAGTGTGTGCAAACGCCGGGGAGCAGAGGGAGGGGGGTGTTGTGCTCTCTCTTTATATTTTATATCACCGTTCAGAGGACCAGAATATCCTTACAGTGGAAGGAATTAAGCAAAACCAGCTACTTTCTTGTCCGTTTCATTAGTGATGATAAGCAGCCCTGAGATTCTTTTCTTAGCCCCCAATCTCTAAAGAAGAAAAAGAAAGAGAGGAAGAAGAGGAGGAGGGAGAAGATGAAAGGAAAGTGAACTTGTTCTCAAATTTCCTAAAGACGCACGTTTAGCCTCGAAAGACCTTGCAGGTTTCTTTGACCTCTTCTGCGGTTTACTGATGATGACCATCATTTCCAAGTAGTCTCTGAGGATTTCTTTCTTTCTTTCTTTTTTAAAGATTTTATTTGTTCCTTTTTCTCCCAAAGCCTCCCGGTACATAGTTGTGTATTTTTAGTTGTGGGTCCTTCCAGCTGCGGCATGTGGGATGCCGCCCCAGCACGGCCTGAAGAGCGGTGTCACTTTCGCGCTCAAGACCCGGACCGGCAAAACCCTGGGCCGCTGAAGCAGAGCGCGCGAACCCAACCACCAGGCCACGGAGCAGCCCCTCTGGGGTTTTCTTTACGGCATCTCATTACTCTGAATGTGTATCAATAAGTTTTTATCATTTCCCTCAGGAAATAAGTAAAGAGTAATTAAAATGTGATAACTTATTCTATTGATTATTTTTACTATATTCCCTTCCTACATGCCAAGACAGAGGCTGTGACAAATATAGGAAAGAGGCTTCCATAATAAATAGTAAATCTCATCAGAGGAGACAATTCAGAACAGCAACCATGCTCTATTGAAGCACCCTAAATCCTTGCCTGTGGTTCCCAGAGAGGGTGATAATTAAATTACATGGTTTATCATCATTCTCAGAGTTTTTCCAGCTATCATGCGTGACTTTCAGGTTTCCAGGTGCACAGAGGGGAGCAAGGAGCAGGGAGCATCACTAGGCAGCTAGAGGATGAGGACGCTGGCTTGACTCCAACATGGGCTTTGACTGCTGGTCATCAGCGCACAATGGTTTCTAAACGGCTTTCCCTTTCACTAGCAGACCACTAACGGAACTGAGCAGAGACTACAGTATCCACACATGGCAAAGAATACAGAGTTTAGACAGTTGGTTCAGCAAAGTCACTAACTAGCAAACAATAGCACCAAGAAATCCTGGGGTGGGCAGAGATTTCTGAATACAGGCACCATCAATCAACGGGATCCAACTGGCAGATAGCCCACACATCCTGATCCCAGTCATCCCCTGTGGGGACAAGGAAGGCTGTTCTGGGAAGCAGGTGTTAGGATGGGGTCATCCTGTCCCAGGAGAAACAGTCTAGTAGGAGAAATAAAGGAAAATCTGAAGAAAAGAAGTTAAATGTGACGGAATGCACCTACAGAAAGGCAGCCCCAACTGCAGTGATGAGAAGGAAGAAGGACGTAGGCAATGCTTCACAGTAGAATAAAAAAGAAAATAGTGAGAGGACTTTTCTAATATATGTATTTCTTGCTCTCATTAGTTATTAAGTTCATTCAGAAATTACGACTTTCCAGAAGTTCAGTCGGTCCCTTCATTTGTTAAACACATATGAGCTAAAGTGAGTGGGAAGCTGCACAGAGCCAGGCACAGGGCCCACCATCATGCGGGAGAGAACCTCGTCCTGCAGAGGCTCATAGGCTGGGTGCTTAATAGCTTTTGATCTGGAAAATTCTCTCAGAGGAAGGATGAACAGAGGGACACTGTGGTCCTTCCTTAGATGCAGTAAGTCCAGGGTGGGCTACAGAGTGTGGGCTGTGGTATCACACATCCAAATGACCGCAGTTCAGAAGAAGTAACTCTACGCAGGGCTGATGGATGCTGCCTGATGCTCTGTGACTGTCTCTCCCTCCTCCATGACACCTGACTCTCCAGGCTGTTTTCCCACAGGGAGCAAACTTGCCTCTGCAGTCCCAGGCATCACATCCTCACAACAAACCTCCAGAGTGAGAGAGACTTGCCCTCCCTGGTCCACTGATCAGGAATCCAGCTTTCACAGGACTGAACCAGGTCACTCACACCATCTCCCCTGACTCCACCATGCTGAGCAGGGAGGGGATTGCTTGATATTTTTGGGCAACACTGGACCTGTCCAATAAGAGAGGGGATCAATCATAGGTTGATCACATGACTGGGAATTTTGGGGTCCAAACAGAAGATGAAAATGATGGAAATTTCAGCAAATAGGTCCCCTGCAGTCCCTCTCGCTTCCCTCCACCCTTGTCACAAGTTCAGCTGGGGACATGTACTGGGGACACTGGGATCTGGGCATAGGACAGGAGCCAGGCTGTTCCCATCTCAGAAAGCTTCAGCTTGGCTCCCTGACTTTTCTGATATCCCTGTAAGAGATCAACTCCAGGCCAAGACACACTCACGGCCATCCATGAGGTATTGCTCTGAAACTCAGGTAGTCTCATGAGAGGTAGAAAGCAGAAAAAAAAAAAAAAACCCTCATGATGGACTCCTCTTCCCAGAGGTAGTAAGATGGAAAAGAAGTTTCAGGAAACCTCAATGTTGGCCAATTTCACACCTGACCTGGGCTCCTCTCCCCACTTCTCACTCTGAGGTGGGGGCCAGACTCAGGGGCCAGCAGAGGAACCAGTACCTCTGTCCACATACTCCATGTGGAGGTCCCTTCAGCTCCCAAAGCATAGCATCTGCTCCACAGTCACCTCTGTGTCATCACTGAGAGTCTGCACCTCACAGGGTCCAGGTCACTGGGAGTGAGATCAGAGTCAGCTTGATTCTGAGTCTGCTGTGACTCTGCCCCTCTAGGAAAAAGAGCCAAATATTGAGAGCCCAAATTGAACTTGCCTGGTTTTCCCCCAACTTAGACTTTCCTGGTCAGTGTCCTTCTGGAATGTTCTGTCTCTATCCAATAATGCCATGCAATGTCCTCAGGTTGAGAGTCATTCTTTCCTGAAATTCTGCTACCTCCGTTATGTTCTCATCACGTATATACCAGTCAGCTAATACCCCCGAAATCATTTTCAGCCCCTTGTAACAAAAAAGTGTGTGGGGGTGGTGAATGTCTAGAAAAATACAGGGTCAGAAAAGGAAAGTTTTAGTAGCTCCTGGGAATCACTTCAGGACTCAAGAACAGTAATTCCTGAGCTTAAAGGTTTTGGTCCTCAGTCACCACAGGGTCAGTAGATTAGATGGAAGGATCCTCTCAGGCATCTCAGGAAATAAGCTCCCAACGTGTCAGAGACCAATTTTCAAAAAGTTAAACACATGAATCTCACACACTAGAGTCTAAACTTGAGTCCAAATGTTATTCAACTCATCTTACTGAGGAGACCAGTAAAGTGGTAAAGAATGCTTTTAAATATAGTACTTTTACGGCACCAAGCTGGGGCCAAAGAAGCAAATTTTCTTTGTTGGACATAAACAGTTAATGTTTTAAAAGGTAATAAATCTATAAGCTTTGGATTTATCTTCTCCTGTGACAAAAGTCTACAAATTAACATTATTCTATTTTTATGAAACACAGTGAAGGACATCCAGATTTGGACTCCTCCATCTTACACTTCCCATCCAAGCTTTCCTGGAGGGGAATCTGTCCTCCCTCTGTCAACTCTCTCACCCAGTCTTCACTTCTCACCCTGCTGACATGTGGCCTCTCCTGTATTCCTTTCCAGCAGCCTCAGTAGATCACATTCAACCGATGATCAAGCCCCTTCACCTGAAAAACCAAAGCACATCTTCTGGGATTCCTAAGGCACTTGCCCTGCCAGGGTCTCGTAATTCCTGAATTCTAATTTCATATTCCTGGTAGTCCACTTCTCCTAGGTCATGTGATTTATCTCCACCTTCCTCTGTTTATATCGTTTCATGGACTTTTCTACATCTTCACCTAAACCCAAGGACTCTTCACGTCATTCCCAGGAGCCCTCAGCTCTCATGTTGCCTCTGATTCCCTGCTCTCCTATAATCTCACCAATGCTCATCCCATCACAGACCCATGAGTGCAGCAGTGTCCTCTCTGGCCTCCCTGTCTCCAGTGGTGAAGTTGGGGAAGGGTGGCCCTAGGTATGCCTCCCACCCTAATGTTCCTACTTCAGGGTAAGCTCCCTGAGCAGGGATGAGGCTGTCTAGCACAGCCTGGCATTCCACTGCCAACCACCAGACTCAACACCAGGTAGGTATTCAGTAAATATTTGCTATTGAAGACGTACCCCTCACTATATAGGTCACGTGGTACTGCATCAGGTTGAGGCCTGAACTGGGAGAGTCAGCTGTGCACATCTTCCTTTTTCTGCCCTGATCCTGAGAGCTGAGGGGGCATCAGCCAGGGAGAGACCTGTGCATGGAATTCCTTCCTAAAGTGCACAGTATGGAAAGAGGGGGCAGTAACTTTGCAGTGGAGGAAACGGACAAGCACTACCTTAGCCAGGCGGTCAAGGTCAACGTCAATAGTCATACATCTAGTTAATAACAATGAACCTGTATAATTTCATCTGTTGTAACGAGTATCCCCTATTGAGGTAAGATGCTAGTGATAGCAAACCAGAACAGAGGGGTATGGGAACTCTCTGTGCTGTCTTTCTTAAATTTTCTGTCAATCTCAAAACTGTTCTAAAAAGTAAAGTCTATCTTTTAAAAAGTTCCAATTAAGTATAGATGAAAAATGGCATCTTGGATTTTCTTTAATTGGACATGCTTTGTTTACTAATGCAGGGAAATCTGTCCACATTTGGGTTGGCTACTTACATTTGTTCTTCTGTGGATTGCTGATTGTCATGTGCCCCTAAGGTTTATGGTTATCTGTTATGTGACATTAGTGTAGTCATAGCTCACTGACACAGTCTCATGAACTACCACAGCCCGAGGATGTATTATCTGCCTGCTTTTCATTATCCAAATACCCATTTTACTGATGAAGAAATGGAGATTCAGATTCAGAGGCTGAAAAAATTGAACCAAGTCCACATTTAGTGTCACACCTAGACCTTGAACTCACATCTGTCTGACTCAAGAATTCCCTAAACACCACACTATACTGGGAAGTACCAAGTGTGTGACAGTGGCAGGAGGAGGGGGGGATCCTGACAGCTGGCTGGGTGTCCAGTGACAAACTTTAATTCTGTATTTTAAGGAAGTGATGACACCCCAACGGGGGGCACCATCCAGGCAAACTAGAAGTATGTAGGAAGTCCCTGAGTGGCTGCTGTGAGAAATGGCTCATGAGGGCAACGAGCTTTGTGTCCCAAGCAGAGGGACTAGAGTAGGTCACTCCAGATCTACTGAGAACAGCAAAATGGATCCTCTGTAGTCGCCCTCAGAAGAAATGCATCTTTCAGGGGCCAGCAGGGGACACAATCTCATGTCATACATCATCATAACTTAATGTTGACACTGAAAACTGAAGCCAGGAAGGGGAATCTCCTCTCCTCAGAATTCTTAAACAGCATCCAAGCTGTGGGGGACCCCATTCACCAGCACTTGCTTCTCAGGTCTTGACCTCAAGAAATTGGGCAGAAATCCAAAGGCTCTGGACTCAAGGGAGGGGATTTGACCTCTGACTTGGCTGCCTGTCTTGTACAACCTTGAGCAAATCAATTCACCACTGGGGTCCTTGCTTTGTTCATATCAAAACAGGAACCACTGCTCTACTGACCTCATAGAATTTTCCAGCAGATGAATAATAGTACTGATGGCTAACAGTTACTGCACAGTCACTACAGACCGGTATTTTGCAGGCATCATCGCATTTAATACTCACAGCAATCATGCTGGCCACGTACTTAAATTATCCTTATTTTATAGATTGGAAAACAGCTCCAGAGGAAGGATATCGTTTGTTTGAGGTCACCCGGTTTGCGAAGATGAAGTCAGAGTTTACAGCCCATGTTGTTCACCGATGAGTTACGTCACTAACCACGTTCCAAAGTGATGCTGATGGAAAGAATGCTGGTGCTTCAGAGTCCTGGGGCAACCTTGAGAAGCTGCAGAGGAGTGGACGACCACGAGCTGGGGCTTGGTATTTATCGCTGGGTGGATATGCAAGCTGAGGGGGTTTGGAGAAGAAAGATGCAGAGAGAAATGAGCTTGACTGGGGAAAACGAGCAGAGAGGGAGAAGAGAGAGTTGGGGCAGCTGCCAAAAGGAATGGAAATCTGGGAAGACAGAGCGACTGGAAGGGGATTTTGAAGAAGCTTTGCTCTCGGGTGTACTTTGTGATGGCTATTCTCTGGCCTCCACTAAACCTTCAGGAAAATCCCTACTTTTCCTCAATGCCTTTAGAGGTGGATCCAGGGTTACTCATTGTACTGCTCACGGATGGCAGTGCTTCATTTTCATATTCCCACCTGCCTCAATACTTGTTATCCTACTGTTTCAAGATAGGAAAACCAACTCCTATCATAACCCCTAATGGGTTCTATCTGGTATCTCCTACGGGACTTAAGGGTAGTAATACTCTACAAAAATCAGTTGGTTTTCTAATTAACAACAAAGAACAAGATTAAGAGGATATTAAGAAAGCAGTTCCATTTCCAAAAGCATCAAAAATAATAAAATAGAAAAGGCTGTAAACTGAAAAATACAAATATTACTGAGAAAAACTAATTTAAATAAGTGAAAGGGCAGCCATGTTCATGGATTGGATGACAATACTGTGCAGGTATCCATCAATACCACCCACATCGATCTCCACATTCAATGCCATCTCATTCAGTGCTCACCTCCCTCAGGTCAATCCACAACGTCTCCTGCTCTTCCCTGTGGTTCCTTGGTTGGGAAAGTGCTGGATAAACATCTGTTCTTTTGGATTCAGATCCTAGACACCTGACACTCAATAACTCCATGGAGCTCTTAAAAAAATCTTGATTAGGGCCCAGTACATTACAGTCACAGGCTGTGAGAGTTTTTAGTACAGCAATGCGAGAAGAGCCCTAAAATAGGGAGGAGGTTCCATTGTAGTAAGGTTCCTGTTCTATCAGCCCTCACACTGAGTAAAACTACAGAACTTGATTAAAAATCTATTTGCTACATCAAACAGTCATATAAAGTCAGGAATTTATATTTATTTTAAACTAATATGCGTATTATAAAATTACATATAAAAACATAAATATATGTAATGTATTATATGGAGAGAACTTCGTATGTAAAATGCATTATAATGTATGAAATGCTATATATTGCATATTATGTGTTACATGTTGCATATTATATATGTTGTATATTATATGTTACATAGAGAGAGAGAGAAAAAGAAGAGAGGATGTAGGGCAATTTCATTTTCCGATTCTAGGAAAATAATGAAACCCAAACCATCAGGAACGGTATCACTTGAGCAGAGCATAGGTGCAAGTACCATCCGTGTTATATGCAGAAACATTCACCTTGACCCCAGGGGGCATCTGGGATGAGACTAGATGACTGAAATCTCTGGGCGATGGTGAACACAGAATTGGGGGACAGCAGCTATGAAGACGCACTGAGCCACATGCCGGACGCCCCAAGCGCAGAGCGAGCTTGTGAGCTTCTAGAGGTGGAGACTTGACACACTGCGGGAGAGGAAAATGAAGTTACTGGACCCACTGAAACGGGACTCATTGATCCTCTAGCCCATGGTGGGCAGTGTGCATCAGCATGGTCCTTCAGAGGTAAACAGCACAGCCCAGGGAAAGCTCTGACCTGGGTCAAGCAGCATCACCCAACAGCCACCAGGGGGAGCACCTCCCTGCACTTTCCTGCTCTGTGAAGGGCCCCTGAGCCCCGGGTTCTTCTCCCATATCCAGCTTCCCAATCCCTCCATTCACTACTGGCTCCACACTTTCCCTATAGGAAGGAATGATTCTGACCCATGATGCCTTGAGAGTGTCTGAGACAGTTTCTGGGTTTGGGTCAGGGCTCCCTGCAGAGGTCAGGGGTCCTGGCTCATTACTATGGCCTCCCAACTTATTCGTGATGGAATATATAATAAATGCGTTAGCTCTAAAAATGTCAGAATTTTAGTGGCTATTTATAAGTAGTATGTCATTAGTCATTTATTTCTATATTTTACAGTGACTTAGGAAAGCTGATATTATTTGTGTTTTTCAGATAATTCAATTATTTTTTCTAATTCTTCCTTTTCCTCTTAAGTTTTAGATGCTCCTTCTCTTCAAATTTCGTGCTCATCAAAGTACATATTTTTCTGCACTGTATCAAAGAATCCTTTGTTTAATAGAAGACACAGAATAATTCGGTATGGACCTTTGTCTGAGGTGAGTTGGGGCTCTCAAATACAGATGACGGGAAAGGAAACAATAACCCTGCACATTTTATGAAACGATGTGCTAGCAATCCTGGAATGAACATAAAATCATATTTGATTTCACGCTGTGAGAACGCCAATGTAGTGGTTAAATTGCAAAGATTACTGGAGAAGTTTTGTCTTCCTCCTGCTCCTCTCTAATTCCAAATCCCCTCAGCTGCTCTGCCCGTTCCTTCTGCCCCAGATAGCACTACTGAGGGAAAAGGGCGTTTAAAATGCTGCATAATGTTCACACCAACTCGGCCAGACTCCTTTCAGTGTCATTCTTTATATAATACGATAAATAATATTCTTCTCATGATTCATTCCAGAGACATTGACGAACTCCACACAATGAAATGCCTAGACAGACAGTAACATAGGGACACAGGAAGTACTAATTTGCAGTCTCCTGTACAACTAAGACTGGACAAATGTCACAGAGGACGGGAATGACCTTGGTGGTGGTCAATAGGGGGACCGCCTTATAACCATTTATTAAGCTCTGCCCGTATTTTGGTGCATATTTTCAAATTTATTTTGCGTATGTTTTTAAAGCATTTGTAATATATAAATATTGTTTTATGTAAAAACCCCAACAGAACCTGTCTCAGACCTGGTCAGTATCAGGATTCAAGTTACTGGGAGTTGTTCACTTGGTGAATTTAGAAAATCAGATGGCAATTATTTGTTCTCTGGCCAGAGTTTCATTTGTCATCTGAGACAGAGAGGCTGCATGGGGCTCACTCCATTTGGCCCAAACAGAAGTCTGCAGTCTCTTGTCAAATAAATGTCTTTATGTTGTTGCATATGCAAAATAGCCTTCTCTTTTCAGGCTGAGTAATATTTCTTGGCATTATCTTTATCTATTCATCTGTCGATGGACACTAAGCTGTTTCCATACCTTGGCTCTTGTGAACAAGGCTGCAGTCAACACAAGAATGCACATGTCTCTTTGAGATTCCGATGTCAATTCTGGTGGATATATACCCCAAAGTGGGATCGCTGGATTGTGCTGAGTGAAAGAAGCCAGTCACAGAAGGACAAATATTGTGTGATTCCACTTATGTGAGCTATCTGAAACGGTTCAACTCACTATAGTTGACAACACTGCATTGTGTCATTGAAATTTGCGAAGAGAGAACTTAAATATGCTTGCAAGAAAAAGAGAGAAAGAGAAGAAAAGAGAAACCTGTGTGGTGACGGATGTGTTATTTATCCTGATGAGGGGAATCCTTTCGCAATGTATCAAATCATGTCATTGTAAATAGCTAACACGTTTATTTGGCAGTGATGCCCTATTAAAACTGAAAAAATACCCCCCAAACCAAAAAAGAAGGAAAAAATGTCAAACTCACAGAAACAGAGGAGAATGGTGATTGCCAGGAGCTGGGGGAAGAGGAAAGAGGGAGCTGCTGTCTGACAGGCACAAAGTTTCAGTCGTGCAAGATGAGTAAGTTCTAGAGAGCTGCTCACAGCCCTGTGCCCAGAGTTCCCAGTACCGCAGTGTGCGCTTATGACTTGGTTAACTGGGCCGACCATATGGTAAGCGTTCTTACCACAATAAAAAAAAAACTGGGCAATTTCTGGTGATCACAAAATGCTTAGAGTATATAATTGAAGGAGTAGTACATGAAATATCAAACTTCAAACTTAGATAATTTTGAAGAAATGAAAACTAGAATTGTTTGACCTTGAAAGAATTAATATCTCACTAAATGTATTCTCTGAAAAAGATGTACAGTGTTTATAAATGCAGCGTTGAGAGGATCTGACGGGGTGACATTTTAACAAACTACTTGACGTTTAGTGGATACTCAATAAATGTTCGTTCTCCTTTCATTTCTGGTAACTTTGGACCCAATTCCTTCCCAGAGGCATCAGAAGAGATCACATTCATGTGCTTAGAGAACGTCACATGTGCTCTGTGTCCTCCACGTAGGCAGGGCGGGATGGCTGAAGTGGGCTGGAGTCCCCACAGGTAGGTGTGTCCCTGATCAAACCTTAGCACATCAGGTTCTGGTAATATAATTTCTCCTTAGAGCAGACTTTTTAAGAACAGAATGCTCTAGCATATTTCAAAATTGTTCATTTTTTCTTTCCTCTGTCAGAAGCACAATATTTTTTTCTCAGACATTCACTGTAAGAGGCAGGTCCAGCTGTTGGAGGCAAAACTCACAAAAGTTTAGGCCCCTGTTTTAACTCTCTGAGGGTCCACACTTGTCCACACTGGGCCTCCTGCAGATTGTCCGTTACAGGTCAGGCTTCCCTGCCCCAGCACTGGTCCCCTCGGGGGCTCAGTTGTGATTCTCTGCGTTCACCTGTGAGTCTCCCCAATCTGGGGGCGGCAATTTGCCCTATGACCTCACTGCTCTTAGGAACCTAAGAACAGCTGGAGCCTTTTCAGTTTGTTCAGCTGTTTATTGTTTGGGGATGGAGTGGAGACTTCCAGGCTCCTAACATCATGGACCAGAAGCCAGAAGTCAAGCCAACACCTTATTTGTTTTATTTATAGCTCTTCTAATTAATATGGACTGGACATATAATAAAGGGTCCATATTTGAAATGCATAATTTGATACCTTTTGACAATTTATACCCCTTGGAAAACATCAGCACAATCGAGAGAGTGAACATTTCCGCCCTGGCACAGTCTCCTCAGGCCCCTTGGGATCCCTCTCTCACCCCATCCCGTCATTTCCTCCTCAGGCAGCAACGGATGTGCTTCCTCTCATTGTGGTGGGTTTGCATTTTCTCAGATGCATAAATGGAGTCACACAGTGTCACCCTTGTATGACCCAGTTCTTTCACTCAGTGCACTGCTTTTGAGATTCTTGAAGATTGTAGCTGAGTTGCGCTCAAACACATGGAGGATGCACTATGAACTTTGGGGACAGAGGGGCTTTCCCATCGTGGGCACCTCCTCTATTATTAAGTGACATTGTAAATGCATATTCTCCACTTGCGCTGGTATAGAGATTAATAGAATCCACTCAGGACTCTATAAGGTACTCATACTATTTCTTGGGCTGCTTGAAGCTTCTCATCCTCTAGGGACTGTGGCTTCTGTGTCTGCTGGATGCTCAGCCCTGCCGGCATTTGTGTTGTTATTTTCTCATCTTCCCCAGTAGTGAGTAGAATGCTTTATTATTTCCGGCTTAGAATGAGTAATGCATAATCACAATGCCAAATCAATTTATAAAAGTACGCCCCCTTTGCATCCTTTCTCGTGGGCCACTGGTTTCTCAGTAGAAGAGGCTAATGATGCTGATATATGTGCACCCAGAGAAATATTTTTCATTGACTGCAAGTTGCTTTGTTTTGTTTTTTATGTCTTTAAGTGTGTGACCTTATTTATTTCTGAGAACCGCACCACTCTTACTTCCCAGGCAGCGCACCAGCATGGAGAGGGTGTGCACATGACCTGGGGGTGCGCTATTAGATAGAGCAACAAAACCAGAGGTCAGTTAAATTTGAATTCAGATAAACAACATGGAACATTTCGCTATAAGGATGCCCTATGCAATATTGATTATCCGAGTTTCTAGATTAACAGTGTGTCCTGTATTTTATCAGATCCCTCTAGCTAGAGGTCACATCCTGCAAGAGCTGAGCTGGCTGAGCTCCCCCTCCTGACACCAGGTCTAAACTCTTAACCTCTGTGACAGAGAGTCTCTAACCAGTTATCCCCAAGGGACTCCTTCAGCCACAATACATGCACGTGGCATACCTCTCATTCATAGAGTCTATTGACTTTCCTCAGTAATCATTCTATTACCCTCAGAGCCCCAGACTCAGGGCCTCTCCAGAATCTTCTGCATCCTGACGTCTGGATCAGGGACCTTTGGTGTGTTTCAACCAGAGAACTGAATCTGGCAGATGCAGAGACTCAGTGCCCTCACAAGGGGGCAGCAGCCAGAGCTGACAAGATGAGTGAGGATCTAGCCCAGGAGGAATTCCAGACACAGAGCTGGCCTGGAACCCTTGCTGGGAACCTGGACCTTCAGTTGTAAATCAGGGAGGGGGGATGACTCAAAGGGGAAGTTTGGGGCCTGAGGCCCAGAAACCTCTTCCTAGGCCATGAGAGGATGAGGATGCTCCGCAGTTGCTGGGAAAATGCCGAGCCTGCTCCAGGGCAGGCGGGTGAAGTGGGTCGATGGATAGGACCTTCTTATAGCTGATACCACTCAGGACTCATGTGGACTCCCATGTTTTCCTCAGCTCACAGGCGCTGACCTCTGTCCTCCTCTCCTATCACACCCCATTGGAGCTTTCCAAGAATCTGAGGTGTGACATGGGGCTGTGGGACATCAGAGGCAGAAATCCTCAATATGTGCATGTGTAACTCTCCCTGTGAAGCTCTTTTTCTTTTTCTTTTTTTTGAGGAAAAGTAGCCCTGAGCTAACATCTGCTGCTAATCCTCCTCTTTTTGCTGAGGAAGACTGGCCCTGAGTTAACATCCATGCCCATCTTCCTCTACTTTATACATGGGACGCTTACCACAGCATGGCGTGCCAACTGGTGCCATGTCTGCACCTGGGGTCCGAACCTGCAAACCCTGGGCCACTGAAGTGGAACGTGCACACTTAACTGCTACGCCACTAGGCCGGCCCGTTCCTGTGAAGCTCTTGATGAACCTCAGATCCCAAGGTCACCTTCTCCTGAACAGGGAGCAGCACAGACATTGGGGGTCACCATGGCAACGGTACCAAGGACTCCCATGCAGAACCCCTATGTGTGTGACCTAGGACGGATGTCATTGACCTGCCAAGAGCATGAACCTGATTCTCCAGGTTCTGTTTGTTAACAGAACTGCTTTCACCACCTGTGCTCCAGCCTGAGGACCAGGCTGATTATCATTGCTATGGAGCTGAACACAATCCCAATGCCACTACGAGCTCCTGTTCCACTGGAAAATGTGGTAAAAAATCTGCTTCACTTCACTCCCCTGTCTGACCCGTCACTCCCCTGTCCCTGCCTGTGACCAACACCAGCTCAGGTTTGGGCTTCTGCTGTCACTTCTGCTGCTAAAACTGCAGGCCTTCATGCTCTTGACCCAGTCTGTTTTATGGGGTCAGGGAAGATGCCTCCTTTAGAAGATAATGGTCTCCTTGGCAAACAGAATTGCTTTGCTGCCAGAAGCAAAATAGCCTCCACAGCTGTTAGTGGTGACGAGAAGGACAGAAATGCAGCATACGTGACCTGGGAGAACCAGGTGACCCTCAGTGCAGCCACTTGTATGTCCACTGTACCAGACTGGGCTTTACTGGTAATTCCCTGAGTTCTGAAAGTGTAGAGAAACTGTGTTTCTCTTTTAACTGATTTTAGAACTTTCTGGAGCTCCTGAATTCCCAGGTGCTGGCCATTCCTCTCCACTGAGAAGATCTGAACCAACCCATTATGAAGGAAGACACACAAATGAGAAACAGACATGTGAAAAGATGCTCAACCTAACAGGTCATTGGGGTATTACAAGTTTAAACAATGAGAGACAAGCAGACCCTATTAGAATGGCTGAGACCTAACACATGACAACAGTAGATGCTGCCTGGGATGTGGGGTGGCAGGAACCCTCATTCTTGCTAGTGGGAATGCAAAATGTCAGCTACTTGTAAGACACGTTGGCAGTTTCTTACAAAGCTAAACTAACTCTTGTATGATACAGAAATCACACTCCTAGGTATTTACCTAAATGAGTTACTTGGGTGGACACAAGAATATCTCATAGATGTTTACAGCTGCTTTATTCATGATTGCCAAAACTTGAAAGCAACCAATATGTCCTTCAAAAGGTGAAGTGATAAATACCAGTACACCTATACGATGGAATATGATTTAGCGATAAAAATAAATATTATCTGGCCACAGAACGACACGGAGGAACCTTCCATGCGTATTTCCAAGTGAAGGAAGCCAATCTCAAAAGGATGGAACTGTGAGGGGTGTGGGACTGGGAGGGCAGGAGCCCTGAGCAGCAGCTCCAGCCCAGGTCGACATGTCTTCTGCATCCACCAGAGGGCGCTGGTGCTCCCCAGTTCCTCAGCTGTGAGCTCCTCTCTGCCCTGCATCTTGCAAGTGTTCCTGTGAAATCCTTGGGGTGAAGCCCTCCCCTCTCCTACACACTCTTTTGAATAGATGCAGGCTTGGCTAAGGTTGAAGGAGGGGCATGTGCAGCCTCCAGAAAGGGGAAGATTTGCATGGAGACCTCCCACCTGAGAATCAGGGTGACACATAAGAAGGGGTAGTGGACTCTGGCCTGGCTGTGCGGCTGGGGAAGCAGAGCCTGGAGGTGTCTCCACCATGGTCTGGGCTCCACTCATCCTCTTTGCGTACTGCACAGGTGGCTGGCTGCAGGGAATTCTGGGATGGCATCTGGATGTCACCTGGGATGATGACCTCTCCCTCCTCCCTGGGAATGGAGTCTGTCTTGTCCTCACTGATCTCTGTGTCAATTACTCCTTGCAGGGTCTTGGGCTGAGTTTGTGCTGACACAGCCCCGCTCTGTGTCTGAGTCACTGGGACAGAAGGCCACCATCTCCTGCACCCGCAGCAGTGGCAACATTGGAAACAGCTACGTGTACTGGTACCAGCAGCACCCGGGCATTGCCCCCAAGACCGTGATCTACGATGATGACAAAAGACCCTCTGGGGTTGCCAATTGATTCTCTGGCTCCATCGACAGCTCCTCCAATGCTGCCTCCCTGACCATCTCTGGGCTGCAGCCTGAGGACGAGGCCGACTACTATTGTCAGTCTTATGACAGCAGCGATAAGCACACAGTGCTCCAGACCCGAGGGGAAGTGAGACCAAAACTCCCCAGAGCTTCCCCATGCTGGGTCTGCTTTCCATACGTCCCCATCAGAGAAGGTTCTTCTTTCCTGTCTCCTGCTGGAAGGTTCACGTTGAGATTGTATGCGTATGAATCTATTTTCTTTCCAAAATTTTCCCCCCACGTCTTCACGGATGATTTCCTAGTTCCTTTTCAA